TTACTTTGTTGTCGCCGTTTAATGCTTTTTATTTTCTACTTCTTCTGGTATATTTTACCATTCCCAACGCCGCATTACGTCACTTTCACTGTACTTTGCGGCTTAAGACCCGCCCTGCCTGCCCCCCCATCTGTTTACCATTCATTGTTGTTGCCGTCCACTTTGTTGCTGTTGTTACTGCTGCTGCTGCTGCTGCTGCTGCGACCGCTTCTGAGCGTTGTTTGTACTTGTTATTTGTTGGTACAAACAAGCGAATTGCAATAAAAATACTCGCACTTTAATTTATGGCCGCTTGCATGCGACTCTCTTTGGGCTATGATTTATCTGAGATATGTGTTTTCGGGTTCGCGTTTGTTTGCCCTGTTTTCTGTTTGTCTCGCATAATTTATACACGTTTACCCTCAGTCGAACTGTGTTTCTGGTTCAAGTTCATCAGCTGACTTCGGTTATCATTCTGCGCGATTCTCCTGAGTGCAACTGCTTAAGTTGTTTCCATAAAAAGTTAAACTGAATAATGGTTTCGGATTCCTGCTGCTACTTTCAGTAAATTTATTGTTTTAAGCTATGATAAATGGGCAGCATTATCTTGGACGCTAACTGACACAATTTTGTATGTTCTCTGATGTAAACAAAATTTAAAAACTTGCTTGACACCATTTTGAATCAATCCAATCTTTACACCAATATTCTACACTTTCATCAGTAGGCCTTTATCCATTTCATTATCACAGTTGAGCCCCTTCAGTACTATACAAACTGCGAATATCTGATGATAAGAAGAATACACTCAATAAAAATATATAGTATAGTCTATATCAACGCTAAAAGCCGTCAAAGTTGTCTTCAGGCTTGTCGTTTGTTTCATGTTCCATGCTGTCTCCATTATTTTTGCTTTCCAGCTTCGTCTCGGGTATCTTTTTGCTGAACCTCAATTTGCAGTTTAATAGTCTGGTTACCTCCTCGTACACCTGCACCAGCTCGAACAGCAGAAAGTATCTGCCATCCTTGATGGGCCACGGAAACAAGCTGTCATCGAAAAAGCCACGATCCACGTAGTAAAAGCCCGGCATTAGTGGACAGGATATTAGAAAGGTAGGCGGAATGAGGGACTCGCTCTGGAAATCATCTATGGTCATGTTGCGCATCGATTCGAGGGACTTGCAGAAATCTAAATTCTTTAATTTGAGCATCTCAAAGGTGTTTGTTCCGCCCGGCACATCGTCCAGCCGGCGTACAAAGATCTGCATGAGCAGTTTGCCCGGAAAGTGCATCTTTACGGTCAAGTTATAGTTGATAGTCGCCCTATTTTCCAAGCTATAGCTGATAATTATATCGTTGGGCACAAATGACTCTGAGTACAACTGATCAATTTGCATATTTAGCTGGAGATTATGTGCTAAATTAAAATTAAATTAAATCTGTTTTATGTAGGACTTACGCCCAATACCTGAGCTGCCATCCAGGCTAAGCTCAGGAGCCCCCAATATGGACTCATAATCGTGTGGCCGGAGTAAACTGCGGTTTATGGTTTGCATTTTAAAGTTTGCCAACAACTCGTTTGACTCCACTTCAGTCACGCCACGTCGCCTGACCTAATGGATTTGTTTGCTAACCACGTTGGGCATATTCAATGGCCACCCCGATTGCCCAGATTCAGATTCTTATCAACTCATTTGTATTTCGGGTTAAACACAGCTCTGTGTGCGGAGGGGCGTATGCGTGATTTGTTTTGCTTTAACAGCTAAACAGTTTGCCAAAACAATTTGTATGTCTGTTGACAGAGTGTTCTACGATTTAGGCAAAGGTCGTCTGTGCTCTGACCCACATAAGCTGGCCACGTTCGTCTTATATGGCCAACATTTGTTTGGCATCATTTGCTGTCCAAAAATGAAATGAATGTTACGCACTTTTATAACTAATTCCCAGACACTTGCGACAGCTTAACAATCTTCAAACTGTCAACATGTGCGAAATACACGTTTATAGAGAGCGGCTCATAAATAAATTGCCAGCTCGCGCCACGCCCTTTTGCAACGCCCATTATATACGAGCTAATTGAAATGCCCATGGGCACAAAAGCGTCAGACAGCCCGACGACGCATGACGCTGATTTTGATCGCGATGACTCGATCAAAAGCCATTCAGGCAAATTATTGTCTAAGCTTACGAAGCGCCCAACAAGCTTCAAACATGTCTATTGCAACTCACAGCTCTTTTCATAACATTTGCATAAATAGATACAAGTATCTATATGTTGGATTTACATCTTTTGGCGGCTTACTCAAATGTGCTAAGTCATGTTGTCAGCATGCTAATTTAATTTAAGCTCTGCATTTGTTTCCGCTCCACGAGTTGCACTACATTTGTTAATGCTTATAAAACAAAACATGTAAATGTCGAACGACTTTGACTTTGACGGGCTTCATTCAACAATTCCCAAAAATGTAATAAATCGTATATTAATCCATATGTTGACCTCTATTTAATTTGTTGAGCTGGTTTGAGCCAACGCCTAGAGGCGTTTATTCTGTGTTGGTTTGGGTTTTCAACGTGTGTTGATTTAACTCTTGAACGTTCAAGCTTGATGGCTATTAGAAGTGCCAAATATTTATGGTCTTAACTGACCCGCCTATTGATCGCTTTATTTGAGGTGTGAAACTAAATGCCGGATACGTGGGCTCCTCGAGATTCCATTTCAGTTGGAGAGAAGGCTGAGCGCATTTTAGTGCTAATCTGTTGATCAAAATGCGACTATTATGTAATATGTTTATATTATATTATGCATATATCCAGTTTCTACTTCCGTGTATTGCAGTGACTGTTCTTAAATAAAAACAAATGTCATGCTTCGCGGGCACTTTTTTGACCGATTTCCGAATGAGCTGTATTTTGATTTACTTAACCTTCAGCCGACTATGTAAATCTGCCTAACTATACTTAGTCCAAAGCATATTTGAACAGTCGCTAAGACTTCTTCAGTGGCACAAACAGCGCGCTTGGCTCTGACCTAACCAATGCAAACAGCGGCAGGCGGCAGGCAGCAGGTGGTAGGTGGCAGGTGTGTCTCGTATGTGGCCTGCTGCTGTCGTTGTTGTTGTTGCTGCATCTGTGCCTTATAAATACTTATATGCTTTATTTGCGCAGCGAACAGAAGAGCGTCACAGGCAGGTGCCCAGCAGGGCCCAGAGACTGTGCACGTTCGTGCAATTTGCAATTTTTGTCAGTTTTCGTTTATTTTTTTTTCTTTTTGTTGTTTTTATTGACCAGACTCGTTTATTTATGCACCTTTGTTTATGTATCGCCATTTCTGACCACTTGTCCAAACCGGGAATGTAATATGTGCAGTTTACATATGACATTATCATCGCTTGATGGTTTTCTTTTTCTTTTTGGGTTTTTCGGGGCGCCATCTCTTGGGTATAAAAGCCACCGGCACTGTGGCCACCAGGTGCAGTCAATTTTTGGATTAAACAGCTCCACAGTTACCTTCGCATATCAAAATGAAGTACATCGTATTGGTGAGTCTCCATAGATATAGATTGCCTTCGAGGGTTTCTTATTTAAGAATATTCATGCACGTTTTGCAGGCTCTTTTCGTTTGCCTTCTGGCTGTGGCTTTGGTCGCCGCTGTGCCCGTCGACGAGTCGCTGCAGGGTGACAACATCTATGGCCAGGCTGATGTGCACAATCCCCACGATCCCCAGGCCATATTCAAGCTGAAGAAACTGAAGAAGCTGCTGCTCGGCTAAGGCCGCAAGTTTGCCAGCCAATCCCGTTGACTCTAGTCCATGTACAAACACCAACAAACACACAACCAACTGGGAACCTAACCTCTCCGCTTGGGCCTAGGCACTGTGCTGCATTTAACCCTTCGCTTAGAGATAAACACAAATCACTCACATTCACAGCTTAATCGTAAACTTAACTAAATAAATATAATTCACATAAAACGACACAAACATCACAAATGTATGCTTATGCCATATGGTGCTACATTCGGAACTCTTTCAACAAGGAGCTAATGACTGGAAACATGTTTTCTGAGACTCGGGATTTGAATATGGGCAACAAGCCTCGATGGGTATGTGAATTAGTCCAAAAGTGTGAACAACTTATTTCCTGATTGGCTTAACGATCTACAAGATCTCAGTTGCTGAAGTAACTGAATGCTCTCTTGGACTCATATATGATATATATTTGTACAGTTTACTGACATTGACCCACATACATATATTATTTAATTAATAACTGTGAATTGTTGTCATGGTTTTAAATTTGTATTTAACATATGGGAGCTAATAGCAAATAAGTAAGAGGTTCAAGTCGGGAGCTCCCGACTAGGGGATACCCTGAACCCTCTTCTTCTAACATCAAATGCATATATATATTTTATTTGAGAAGCTATATGTCAAGTTTGGTGACTCTAGCTCTTATTATTTACCAAAATTGCCCAAAAAAATCGATTTTTATAGATTGCTTGGAAACGGAGTAAGGTTTCGATTATCGGAAACAAACTTGATCTGCGCAGGCGCTAGGAGCACCTGCATCTAAAATTTCTCTAGCTCTTATAGGTTCTGAGATCCTTGCGTTTATACATACGGACGAACAGAAGGACGAACGGACGGACAGACGGACGGACATGGCTAGATCGATTCGGCTATTGGTGCTGATCAAGAATATATATACTTTATGGGGTCGGGGATGCTTCCTTCTGCTTGTTACATAAATTTGGATTTTGCGCAAATACCATATACCCTTATACCCATTTTTAATGGGTTAAGGGTATAAAAAATGGTATAGAATTAAATCAATTTAGCATGTGAATCGAATCAATCAAAGGTCTTGATTATATATTTTGCCTATCATCAAAGATAAACTTATCCCTAAACAACGTCCTTCCTTTGATATTGTTTCTTTCTTCCCAACTATTACTTAAACGCCTAAAAACTAACATAACTAATAATGAAAAAACTAATAACATATTAAGATTTAAGAAGTTGTTTTTTTTTTTGTTTAATATCAAGCTTAAAAACTAGACACAAAATATGCTAAAAGTCCATTTAATCTCGGCAATCAACCCAGGAAGAGCAGTTTCTTCAGCAGCTTCAGCTTCAACAAGAAAGACTGATCATCGGTGGGGCTGATAGGCTCGCTGCCGGGACCCTCAATGCCCTCGGGTATGGCCTCCTCCACGGGCACTGCACTGGTTGCCATGAAGCACACAGCCAGGCAAACGAACACGGTCTGGAATTAGGCAAACGTACTCCATAATTAGTTGAATGTTATCCATGGACTCCGCCGTTAAGTGGACGCACCAAAAGCAAGAATTTCATTGTGATTGAGCTTCAAGTTGGGGACTCCTTGACTGGGCACTACGTGTTAATTGATGATCTCGCGTATCGCGTTGACAGACCTGCACTGAGCATAAACCTCGCTGTTCATCTATTTATATGGGAGTTTCGAGCCGGTCTGAGCTGTGCGCATGCGCGCTCGTATTTCATAGAGATTAAAACAACACATCGTCACAATGGAAGCTCTAAAATATCATTGTATCTCCGAGCAGCCCAACAATAAATTTTGTTTGGACTATTAAATGTGATTTTAGTGTACCACGCAAGGCGTTTTGGATGTGTGGAAAAATAAAAAATAAAGCAAACCAAACTATTTTGTTGAGGCCGCTTTTGTTGTTGTTGGGCCCATTGTTGGGCTAGCCCGATGGCAAATTGTTTTGTTGACTGACATATCGCTGTGGGTTTTCGCTAATATATCTTTCCTTGGTTCTGAGTTCTATTTGATTTGACCATTAGCTAATCGTACCCTAGCTGCAGCCCCCGCTCTCACTAAATACTTATTAGCGGCTTTTATTGCTGGTTTACCTCAGCTCTGGTTATGCATGATCCATTCACTTAGCGTTTTCGTTGGAAATTATCACTTTATCAGCACAACTTATTAGTTAAAACATTGACGGATATAAAAAACTTGCTTTAAGCTTAACTTCACAGAGGATGGGCACCAACAAAAAAAGGTGATTGCCAATGGCAAATATTCTTTGAGTAAATTCACTTTGCACAAGGCTATGGCAGACCGAAACATCCGCTCTGGAATGATTTTCACAACTTGCCTTAATGCTAATTATTTTACACAGCCGACTATTTAAGAATATGCAAATCATTTAACAAATAATCATGTTTGCCAACATCAAACATGTAAGAGAAAAAATGTTAAATTCAAATTTTGCCAGCCGTTAAGGCGCGCCGCGGTATTTTTTAGTACATTAATGTTTATGCATCTCGGTTTGAACCAGCTGCTGTTATCGCACAATGTCATAAACAGTGTGGCAGCACCATAGTACGCGATTACGCTAAAATACTTAATCATTGCCTTCTCTAACGCGTATTAAACAATAAGCAAAAGAACGATAAAAAATATTAGACAATAAACACACTTGACCAAATCAAGTCAAAATTCCAACTACTTAAAATTGAGAAAATTATAAAATCCCAAAAAAAAATTTTTCGGCAAACAGATATAAAGTTTAAATTAGAAATATGACTGGTTCGTTCAGTGTGAAGCTAAAATCGAAAAAAGGTCAATTCATTGTCAATGACCTGAACGAGAACACAACAGTAGCTGAACTTAAATCACGGATATCTCAGGCAACGGAAATCAAGGAGCCACAATTACACGTGCTCGTCGGTTTCCCTCCACGGCCACTGGATCTTAGCGACCAGCAGCAACGGAATCTACGCTCCATTGGCATCCAAAGCGGCGAAACGCTGATTGTTGAAGAGAAGGCAGCGCCAGTGGCCAACTCCGCAACCATTGAGGACGACGAGGCGCTGGCGCGTCGTCTGCAGGCGGAAGAAGATGCAGAGCACCTGCGTCAGGTAACTACCTCAAGCAATGCCGAACTGGACTCTGTCGACATTGTTGCTCATAGCAGTAACGGGCGCGAGAGCGCACCCGTGTCCGCGCCCGCGGAAGCTGGACCAAATGGCGACTTCAATGGAATTCTGTTGAAAAAGGTGGTGCCAGCGGATAACTCGTGCCTCTTTACAAGCATACGTTTCGTTCTCAACGGCAAGGTGGATAACGAGGGCAGCGAAATGATGCGTCATATTATCGCGCAGGAGGTGGCCGCCGATCCGCAGCAATACAATGATGCAGTCCTTGGCAAATCAAACGCCGAGTACTGTGCCTGGATACAAAAGGCGGACTCGTGGGGCGGCGCCATCGAAGTGTCCATATTATCCAATTATTATGGCATTGAAATCGATGTCGTTGATATACAAAACGCGATTATCAATCGGTTCGGAGAGGACAAAAACTTTGGTTTACGTGTGTTCCTACTGTTCGATGGCATACACTATGATCCACTTTACATGGAAACTTCACAGAGTGCCGCACCAGCTACCATCTTCCCCGTTGAGGAGCTGGGCGTCTATCAGCAAGCGGAGCAGCTGGCCAACGAAGCAAAGTCCTCACGCCAATTTACAAATGTGGACAAATTTAATCTTCGTTGTTTACAGTGTGATCTATTACTTGTGGGTCAGGCACAGGCCCAGCAGCACGCCAAGGCGACTGGGCATGCGAACTTTGGGGAAATTTAATACGTACTGATCTTTGGCACCATTTATATTTTGGCTTTTATTCTGTTTGCCTATTACATACTCACCACATAGTTTCAATCCAAGAAATTGTCAGCTCTTGCCGATTAGTTTCGCATTCTTTAGCAAAATTTATACAAACTCCTGTGGTTCATTTATTTAACTCTCTTTCTACGCCCAAGCAACTGTCATTTGAGTTTTTGGAGAATAATAAAGTCCCATTCATTTAACTAGCAGAACACCAATATTGTGTATTCTTTGTTACGATGCCCATGGTGGTGTCATTGCAGCGGGATTTTGCAAGTATGACATGACCACAGCACTTACACTTAACATAAACGAAGACAGTACCTAGAAAACTAGGATTAGTAATGGGCATTCGTTTGTGGATGCTTTAGTCACCTGTTTGGCATCGTCGCTAGCCCGCGAGCTGGAAAAGCTGATGCAAGAGCAGTAGAGGGCAAACCAGGCGCACCACTTAAGCTGTTGCAAAGGGATTGTGTTACACCTTGTACTGAAAATAATGGAGACGTGGTTTTACCTTCATCATCAGGCCGCACATGGAAAAAATCATTCCCAGAATGTTCATATAATCCGGCATCATGTCCTCATTGGCGCCACCGCCTTGTCCTTGGTTCTTGGGTGCTTTATAGCGATTGATTTTCTCCTTCCGACGTGGATCCACAGTGTAGCTCATTTTCAATTAATTTTTATTGATGTCTGACAAATTAAGCGAAAAAACTAAAATTTCTCTTGAGCACAGCAAGGGAATGTTAGCGTTGCCACATCGATTTAAAACATCTGTATGCCATTCACAGGTATCGTAAGAATGACTATACTACTTCTTCTTCTTATCAATTACTGTTCAACGGCATGCACTTTTAAAACTTGTTAAATTACATAAAAATAATAGAAAATTGCAACAAATTAAAATGGCAGTGCGTTTTTTCAGCTTAGCGCTGATACCGCACATACGCCGTATACAGCTATACGCCCCAGAGCACTACTTACATCTAAGAAGAGCACTTGGTGTTCAAACAGAGTTTCCGAATCTGCGCTGGGAGCAAATCCGCCTACTACACGTGCGTATTACGGATGAGGATGCCGGTCTGCAGACAAAACGTGAGGCAAACAGACCGACAAATCCTTTCCAAGACACGATTTTAGATGAAGACCCAAGAGAACAGACCCCCAGACTGCGTGTACATACGAAATTTGGCAGATCGGAGAATTTGGCAAAAGACACTGCAAAACCAGATAAACGGGAACAAAAAAAGAAAATATTAACCGACTTTGGTGATCCGGATACCTTCGGCGATGCCAAGATCAGCGGTACGCAACCCGAAGACTCCGGTGATGTGCAGGAGGAAGAATTTATTAGCAGACCAACGCGACACACAAGAAAACTTCGCACCAAAGAGTACGCTCGTCTCATTAAGGAACATTTAAATGCGCATCGCATCAATGACGCCCTTGCCGTTCTGGAGGTGCGAATGTTGCGAGAGGATCGCGTGAAGCCAGAGAACTACATTTACAATTTGCTTATCAGCGGCTGCGCCAAGGCGGGCTACACTCGTAAAGCTTTCAGTCTGTACACTAAAATGCGTCAACGTGGTCTTAAAGTCACCGGCGGCACCTACACTTCCCTCTTCAATGCGTGCGCCAATGCACCTACACCGATTGACGGCTTGGGCAAGGCGAAGCAGCTGCGGGAGAACATGTTGGAAAAAGGTTACGAACCGAATGTTAAGAACTACAATGCCATGATCAAAGCGTATGGTCGCTGTGAAGACATAGAAACCGCTTACATGCTGGCCGACGAAATGCTGGAGCGTCAGCTGCCGTTGAACTCGGACAGCTTCAACTTTCTGCTGCAAGCCTGCGCCAGTGATGAGAAGCATGGCTTCCGACATGCGCTACTCACCTGGCATAAGATGCTGCAACGTGGCTTAACTCCAGACTTTTACAGCTTCAATGCCATGCTGCGCTGTGTCCGAGACTGCGGCTTTGGTGATCTAGAGTCCATGCAGCAGGTGCTGGAACAAATAACTCCGGGTGCCACCAACAGACAACTGCCCCCGGGCAAAGAAGAGGGTGTGGAAGCAGCTCATCCTGATAGCTTGGCCATTTCACCCAGCTCTACGGAGGCTAACCAGCTCGAATTGGCGTCCCCATCCACAGAACAGCTAGAACTGCCCAATCTGCTGCTGCCACTTCCACAATTAGGAAGTTTAGTTGCCTTGGCTGAAGTGACGCGTCCTCATGAGCGGTTCCTATTGCTGGGCGGCATTACCGGCTATCTGGAGTTAATGAAGGCCCATAAAATAACACCGAACATTGAATGTTTTACAACCATGCTTGAGGTCATACCGCCCACAAATGCAGCGGAGAAGCAACTGCTAAGCTTTGTGCGCAAGATTGGCCTCAAAGCGGACATTGATTTCTTTAACATACTCATCAAGAAGCGCTCGATGCGCTTCGACTATGAGAGCGCACGCGAGGTGTTGACTATGATACGCACTGCTGGCTTGCAGCCGGACATTGTGACATATGGCGTTCTAGCGCTAGGTTGTCGCACCCAGGAGCAGGCCCGTGAGCTACTGCAGCAAATGCAGGCAGCAGGCATACGTATGAATATGCCCATATTGGGCGCTATGTTGCGGCAGGGCTGTGCCCAGAAATCGTTTGCATACATTAACGAAATCATGCAACTTAGTCTGGAGGAGAGCATAAAACCAAACGAAGCGTTCCTGCGGCATTTACATAACTTTCACAGAGGCTGTGCCAGGGCCATTGATGCTAGGGTGAGACATAGTCGTATTTTTCATTAATTATTTCAGACAACTAACCGACAACTATTTTCAGCACCCCTCAACAAAAACTGAGGCCTTTAAGAAGGGGCACTCAAAGTTCTGTGATAAATATCGTCTGTTTTACGAGGAGCATGGCTTGTCCGGCCTGAAGCTGGAAGA